TCATAGTTGATCTGAATGTATAAGGTCCATCGTGATATCATCCATAGGAAAATCAAATAAACTAATTTGATTATCATCTTTCCCGACAACTCCGTCCCCTGAAGAACCACTAAAATTTCCATCAAATTTCGTTTCATGATCATCGAATAATTGGTCTATATACTTGCTGATGGTGTCATCTAATAAATTGGATTGCAACTTTAACCCCGATGACACATTAAATTTATTGTTGGCACCATTATTCACCGAATTTAGGTTACCAACTTCATGAGTCATAGGAGTGTGTCGTGGGTTGTTACCCATATTTAGGGCTCTTGAAAAAGTCTGTGGTTGTGGCTTAATAATCGTGACCATGGTATTTTGCAATGATTCATCATCTTTAGGTTTTTTCTTTCTTCGTTGCCTGGGACGTGAACGGTGATGAGTGTTCCAGTAATTTTTCACATCATTAGCGGTTCTTCCTGGTATTCTTCCAGCTATCAATGCCCATCTAAAATTATAATCCAAATTCCAAAATGAATCAATATCTGTAATATTTTATCTATAAAATAATACCATAAAGAACGAAAAATTAATAACTGGTTAATTTTTTTTTTTAAACTTCACTTGATGTTCTTTGTGAATTAATATTTTTAATGTGTGCTTGCCTGTTTCCTAGCAACTTATGAAGCCTAAGTATGAGATCAACTTCATCCTTAACAAAGTCTCCTCTTTTTATATTTGGCCTTAAATAATTCAACCATCTTAACCTACAACTCTTTCTGCACCTATTTAACCCTGCAAACATAACAAGAAAACTATTAACACAAATAAGAATATAAGCAAAAAAAATTTACTCGTATTAGTTTTTTTTTTTCAAAGACGGAGGAAAAAGAGTAGGCCGATGATGCTTTTATAATACAAAATGGATTATGTAATTTTCAACCTGCTTTAAGAGGAATGAGGTGCCATTTCCCTTCACCATGTTTCTCAATATAGTTCTTGAGAGAAATATCTTCTTCCACAGTCCATGCACCTTTTTTCAACATTGGACCCGTATTAGTACATGGTCTCATTTCGTTTCTGTTCTACGCAAGTGACGTACACACATATATACTATAAAGTGAAGTTCAAAATTGAGCCGATGCACCTTTTATAGTACATATATAGTGTATATCGTGAACTAGATATTCATTAATTTCCTAAATGCATAACATTTAACCGATGCACCTTTTATAGATTCAAAAATGGCTACAGGTTTTAAAGGAATCCAGGTCCACATATATATAGAGCATGTGCTCATGCTACAAATTGACGTTCCCACATTGGTTCATTTCCAAGAAGGCAAGAACTCAAAAGTGTCGAAGAAAAAAATTCACTAGTATTCTATCTTTTTTTTTTTTTTTTTTGGAAAATCTGCGAAAAAATCTTAATATTTTAGTCCAGATTACGATTTAGTTCCAAATTAAATTATGTTTACAAAAAAAGACAGATTACCGGCTAAAACTTCGGATTAACCTTTTGTGGCCGGTTTCACAGATTTAGCCGGTATCTCGTCTTTTTTCGTTAATTAATCCAAATTTTGGGGTTTATTCATTAATCAATCAAAATTTCAGGGTTTTTTCATTATTTATTACCAATAAATCAAAATATTTGGATGTTTCTAAAGATTACCTTTAAACTCATATATACTATATGATCTAATTTAATATGTACTATTCCATGTCTTCTTTCTTATGCTCTTCTAGGCTCACTGTCTGTTTTTATCGGTGTCATCAAACCCAACAACAAAAATGTCACTCACAAGCCTCGTTAACTCCATCGATTTTCCAAAATTATCCATTCATAACTCTATGATCATCTGTCAATCTCCAAATAAATAACGGAGGAAATCCTTGTTGATTATGTGGATGTTCTTATTACCTAATCATGACTTAAACCGTGTTTCCAACACTTGAATGTTCCTATTACCTAATCATGACTTGAATCCTATTTCGAACCCATACACTATTCGCATTGTCCATAGTGTTGTTCACAACAAAATACAAATCCCACATGGTTTAACCACTAATACATTGGCTTAAGTCTTACATGACCATTGTTTCCTTACAATAGGGCTTGAAAACCATGAAGAATGAACCATTAAGTTAAAAAAGCTCAACATAGGTAAAAAAAATCAACTCGATATTATGTACTGAAAACCGTGAAGAATGTTAACTCTAATTTTAAAAAAAATGTCAACAAACTATCCATCATAAACTATTAAAATATTAATTTGGTATACCTATGAGCTACGGTTCCAACACTCGTATGTTCCTATTACCTAACCATGACTCGAACCGTATTTCGAACCCATACACTAATGGCATTGTCCATAGTTTTGTTAACAACAAAATACGAATCCCACATGGTTTAACCACTGATACCTTGGCTCAAGTCTTACTTGACCCTTGTTTCCTTACTATAGGTGTAACATCCTGACTCCCAGATATAATATTTAATTAATTTATATTCTTGTTGTCTCATCAACTTGACAAGTTGAAGACCCCAACTCGCCGAGTAGAGAGTGTTTATAGTCGCGTAATTTCTAGAGTCTACTCGACGAATTAGAGGACCCCAACTCGACGAGTAGGAGCTGAGTGTGAAAACCCTAATTTTCAGGGTTTGTGTCCTATTTAAAGGACCTTAAGCCTTCATTTCCACCTCATTTATCATCTTAACACTTTGAGAGAAACCCTAATTGAGCTATATGCTTGTAGGAGAGAAAGAGGGGCTAATATTACATATTGTAGTGCATTTTTTGGAAGAAGATTGAGGAGAAAAAAGCTTGGGACGAGAAGGAGATCTTTGATCCATCAATAAGATTGTGTTCCGATCTTTATCAAAAAGTTCATCATTTATTGGTTTTTGTCTTGCCAAAAACTAATGCATTCTAGAAGCCCCAAATAAAGTAAAATATAATAATGACAACTATTGTGATGTTATGTTTAAGTCATAATGACTATTGGTATGATATTACAATAATTGTCATTATTACGTTTTAGTCTATTTAGGGTTTCCAAAATGCTTTACTTTTTTACGAAAAAAAAAACCCCAATAAATGATGAACCATGTGGGATTCATCTTACGTTGGGGCTTCTATAGTGTTGTAAGAAAACAAGGGTCAACTAAGACTTGAGTCAATGTATCAGTGATTGAACATGTGAGATTCGTCTTCTATTGTTAACAACATTATGGACAACGCCATTAGTGTATGGGTTCAAGGCATGGTTAGGTAATAGGAACATCCAAGTGTTGGAACCATGGTTTAAATCATGGTTAGGTAATAGGGACATCCACGTAATCAACAAGGATTTTATCCGTTCTTTATTTGGAGATTGAAAGATGATCATAAAGTTGTGAATGAATAATTTTGCAAAATTGATGTAGTTAACGATGCTTGTGAGTGAAATTTTTGTTGTTGGGTTTGACGACACCGATAAAAACATACGGTGAGCCTAGAAGATTATAAGAAAGAAGACATGGAATAGTACATATTAAATTAGATCATATAATATATATTAGTTTAAAGGTAATCTTCAAAAAAGTCCAAATATTTTGGTTTATTGGTAATAAATAATGAAAAAGCCCTAAAATTTTGATTAATTAATGAAAAAGCTCCAAAATTTGGATTAATTAACAAAAAAAAGACGAGACACCGGCTAAATCTCTGAAACCGGCCACAAAGGGTTTATCCGAAATTTTAGCCGGTAATCTGTCATTTTTTATAAACAAAATTTAATTTTAGGACTAAATCGTAAACTGTCCTAAAATATTGAGATTTTTTCACAGATTTCCCTCTTTTTTCGCCAATTTTTATAAGGGAAGACAATTAAATTGATATGAAAAGTAAACAAGAAGCTTGAGCCATTTAAAAAAAAAAGGCAAAAGGCTTGGAGGCACCTATGTGAAATCTAATTGTGGAAATGATATGAAAAAATCTCAACGATGATAGGAATGGTGCCACCATTGCTGACGTCACGTCAGCTTTGCCATATTTTAACCAAAATTTGCCAGTTATATATAGTGTGGGTTGTTACAGTTGTCATGCTATTTTGTTTTTCTAAAACTCTTTAATGTACAAAATGAACATTTGAAATTCTATATATATATATATATATATATATATATATATATATATATATATATATATATATATATATATATATATATATATATTAAATTTTAAATTTCATGAAACTTAAAAAAAAAAATTAAAACACACACAAAAACAAAATAGAATTCAAATTTGAAATCTAGAAATTTAAATAATGAAACTATAAAAATATAATAACGAAACCTAGATGTTATGTTTTTTCGCAACCTCCTCTTTCGCTTTTATTGTTATTTTTTTTCACATCCTGTGAGAACGCTAGTGTTTCTCATTAAAATCTCCATGACACGGTTTTTTT